ATACGTTATAAAATATACAATTACATCAGAACATAAGACCAAAAAACTATCCCAAATCTTTGTGTTTATTAACAATCAATATACACTATCAATTACATCAAATCACCTACACCAAATACACTATCAATTACACCTAGTCTTTTACCAAAATAATATTCAAGGAATTTGGCGTTTATATCACTCACACCAAAAATAAATGATGAATAATGGTGTTTATAAAAACATACTACAGAATTGAACCTAATAATATACCAAAAACAATTAATAATATTTATTGTTTATTCAAGAATTGAAACCAGTCAATCTTTGCACCAGATCATTTACCAAAGCATATGAATTTTATATCTAACCACAAAAACATACAATTTAAACCAACGAATAAATACCAAAACGATCTAATAGAGATTGTAAGAAAAACTATCATATGAAAAAAATCGCAAATATATTAAAATAATCGCGTAAAAAACACCAATAAAATCGTTATTTGTTCAAATACCTGATGCGTCCCATCGTTCGTTGCGTTGAATTAGAATTCAAAAATTGTTGGTATCCATGTTTCAACAATCGATCAGAATGAGTAGAAAGAGAATTTTATTTTTGTTAAAAACCTTTCTTCATGAGAGAGAATATATAACAAATCTGAGTAAATCGTGGAAGGTAAAATAATTGGAGAAAATCAAGAAATATGATATAAGCGTGGCTGACTATTTCTAGGTTTTTTTTAACTATAAATTCTAGTTTTGAAAAAAAACTATTGCTATATAAGTGGAAAAAAAAACTATTGATATATAGTAGTACTTAAAGTTTTTGCCCACATAAAAGAATCACTGATTTTCCAGAAAAATATTTTCAAAACAAACCCAAAATAGTGCTTACTAGATACACACGGGTGTGGGGCGCTTACACATATACAGTGATTATAGTTGAAAACGCTATTCGACAACAAAATTCAACTAACATGGGTTGTAGCGCAGTGGTGGGAATGCTTCACCTTAACCAGAGGTTTCAGGTTCGAGTTCGGATATGGAGAAAAACATGTTGGGAGTGTCACCAACCGAATGGGTGTGCAGTGTGCGATCTGGATTTAATCGGGCTCCAATGTGAACTCCGGACACCAAATGGAAACCAAACCAAAAGAAAACAATGACAACAAAGTTCAGTGTAGCCTGTGATCTAATAGTACCACCCATGCAAACAAAGTTTGTTGGGGTAAAGCACTGATGCAACTCATTGTCTCAAGGTGTCACGACCCAAAAATGGACGTGATGACACTCGTCTTATCCCACCAAGACAAGTCAGCCTAAAACTCAACCATTATAATAACATGCGAAAATTTCATAATAAACTCAAAAATATCCCCAAAATCTGGTTGTCACGTGTACAAGCCTCTAAAGTATTACAATTGATTCAAAAGAAAAACACAAGTCTCAAATGACATTGTTTCTAGAATAGAACAAGATCATAATTAAGGAGAAAGAAGGTCCGCTGAAATGACAAGCAACTACCTCACAAACTTCCACAAGAAGC